TTTTTCTCTTATTATTTCTTTCTTTCTTTCTTTCTTTCTTTCTTTTTTTCTTTTTTTTTTTTCTTTTTTCCTCTTGTTCTTCTTATTTAGTTACAACGTTGTTTTGTTTGTTTTCTTTTTTTTTTTTAATCATTACTTAAGAAACAAAAATTTCCATCAAAAATTAATCCTCCTTTTAATCGTGTATTATCGATAATACACAATCAAGGAGTGTTTCCTCTTTTCTTTTCTTTTCTTTTTTTTTCTTTTCTATTTTTTTTTTCTTTTGCTCTTTTTCTTTTTTCTTACTTTCTCTCGAATTTTTCTCAAAGGCGAGAGAGAGAGAGAGAGAGAGAGAGAGAGAGAGAGAGAGAGAGAGAGAGAGAGAGGGAGAGAGAGAGAGAGAGAGAGAGAGAAGAGAGAGAAATAGAGATAAATAGAGAGGTAGAGAAGGCAATATTTATTAATAATATATGCATTCACTGGAAAAATAGGAAAACAAGAATTGAAAAAAAAAAAAAAAAGGAACAAGAAAATCTAACTACAGGACTCCTCTTACTCAAAGATAAGTCTGATTTCAGTATAATAAAACGCACAATATAATCCTGAAAAGTATAAAGCATTGGCATTCTTCCTTTTCCCATGCTATTCACGATCGCATAGAAAATGCAAAGTACGAATCTCTCTCTCTCTCTCTCTCTCTCTCTCCCTCTCTCTCTCTATCTATCTATCTATCTCTCTCTTTCTCTATCTCTATCTCTATCTCTATCTCTATCTCTATCTCTATTTCTATTTCTATCTCTATCTCCCTCTCAATTTTTCTCTGGAATTGTAAAAATTCCCTTGCCCGTTCCTCTTTCGCCTCTCCTTCTTCCTCCCCTCACCTATCCCTCTTTCCTCGTCCAACTCATCATAACGATCGTAATTATAATTTTTCATAACGCAAGAATTGGACGAGAAGTGAACAGAAATAAAATTAAGCATAAAGGACAAAATAAAGAAAAAAAGAAGAAAAAAAAAAAAAAAAAAAGAAGAAATAAAATAAAAGGAAGAAGAAAAATAAAAAGATGCAAGAGAGAGAGAGAGAGAGAGAGAGAGAGAAAAAAAAGAAAGAAAACAGGAACATAGAAGAAAAAAAAGAAGAAAATACTAGCGTAAAATTCGAAATAACGAGGAAGGTTAAATAAAAACGAGAAGAACGTCCTCTCTCTCAAGAGAGAGAAAGAGATAAAGAAAGAAAAAAGATCGTACTAAATGAATTGAAACACAACAAAACAAAACAAAACAAAACAAAACAAAACAAAACAAACCAAACCAAAACGAAACGAAACGAAGCAAAACAAGGCAAAAGGAAAAAACAAGAGAGAAAACAAAAAAGGAAGGACGAAAGAAAGAAAGAAAAGAAGAAGAGGGAGGGGAGTGGGGGGTACGGAGGTGCTGAAATTGAAATGAAGAATGATTAAGTGTTAGGAAGAAAGAAAGAAAAAAAAAAAACGGGAGGGAGGAAGAAGGAAAAAAAAAAAAGAAGAAAAAAAGAAAAGAAAGATAGAAGCAAGCTCGACAAACCTCGAATATTTTCCAATGTAAATTTGAACATGTCGTGATTGGCCTCTGGCGTAACGTCGGCAACAATAACGATTAGCATGAGGAGCACAACGTCGTCAGGTTGGGGCGAATAAAAAATTTGTTGCTCATGGTAAACGAACACACGTGATTGGAGGAACGCGGCACGCGTCCCGAACGTGACCGTACAGACTGAGAGATGCCGGTAAACTGATCGGGATCCTGATGGTCCTCTCCTACTCTACTCTACTCTACCTCTACCTCTCTACCTCTACCTCCTCTTCCTCCTCCACCTCCTCTTCTTTCTCCTCCACTACCACCGCCTCCACCTCCTCCACCTCCTGTTCCTACTCTTCCAACAGAACTCTCCCTATCCTCCTCCTACTCTATTCCTTTTCCCTCTCTCTTCCACCATCGCCATCACCTCCTCTTCCTCCTTCTATATCCTTGTCCTCGTCCTCCTATTCCTTTTCCTCTTTCTTCCCTTTCTTTCCTTTTTCACCCTTTCCCGTCCTACCTCCTTCTCCTCCTCCTCCTCCTCCTCCTCCTTCTTCTTCTTCTTCTTCTTCTTCTTCTTCTACTTCTTCTTCTACTCTCCATCGTTCCTTCTCATCTTCCTACTCTCTTCCTACCCCGTTCTTCCATAGAGAAAACTGAACAGGACGAGACGCGCACGCTCGTCGAAACAGACTGAACGAGAGAGAGATAGAGAGAGAGAGAGAGAGAGAGAGAAAGTGAGAGAATGAGAGAGGGAGAGAGAGGGAATGAGAGAGGGAGAAACAGAGAATTAGAAAGCAAATCGAAAAGAGAGGTGAAAGAAGCAAAAGGACGAAGTGACGAAGAAAGAAGAAACGAATGAGAAAAAGAAAGATAGACAGAGAGATAGGTACACAGAAAGCAAGAGCGAGAACGAGAGAGAGAGAGAGAGAGAGAGAGAGAGAGAGAGAGAGAGAGAGAGAGAGAGAGAGGAGAGGGAAAGAGAGAAGGAGATCAGGCCTGATTTAATCGTAAAGGCGGCAGGACACACCACCAGGACGCGACACGGTGCCGTTGCTACCGCTGCTGCTATTGCTGCAACTTCAAAGGATAAAAAGGCTCCGGTAATTTGCACCGGTACAGAAGCAAGGACAAACGCGAAGTAAGCTATCTTTTATAGCTATTAAAGGATATGCGTAATATTCGTTAAATTATTTCCTTATGAAATTTCAACTATCCACACAGTTAAATCATCCCATTAATCCTATTAATTTATCTTTCTTTATATTATGATAATTATCGACACGCAAATAAAATATTTTGTTAAGAATAAATTATATCAAATCTTTATTTTCATCCTTCTATCCTTCTATTTCCTTCTTTATTCGACATTAACGATTCGAGAATTACGCTAATTAAGCCATCGTCAAGGAAAATCTTTGCTCTTTTAACGAAAAGCGATCTCGTTACAGATATTTATGCGGGTTTTCGCGAACTTAGCAAGAACAAAGCAACCAAAGGGAGAGTTCCACTCTTGGTCCCTCTTTCCTTATACACATACAAAGTCGGCCTTTAATAAATATCATTTCTCCTTGGGAGCTTGGACATCGAACCGCACCGCATCAAAGACACTTCATTTCGTTCTATTAATGATATACCACATAGAAGAGAAACAGGAAAAGCTTAGGCGTCAACATTCTCTCTCTCTCTCTCTCTATTTCTCTCTCTTACTCTCTTTCTCTCTTTTACTCTTTTTCTCTTTTTCTCTTTTACACTTATTCTATCCTATATACTATATATACTATTATACAATAACAAAGCGTATCTAATCTAATGTTCTCGAATTTGATTTATTATATATATATATATTTCCTTAGGCAATATTTTCTAAGACAAGAACAACATCAGAAACCATCTCGAATTCGAATTATAGTTCACACTTAGAGACTACGATCTGATCGTTCATTTAAATTTTTTTTTTTTTTTTTTTTTTTTTTTAATTTTTAATCTATTATCTATGACTCCGTTCTATGACGTAGTCACATAGATATCACATTTTACGATTAAGACGATGATCTAACTTGAAATTAATAATGTCAATAGATCGATCTTACGATCTGTATTATTATATACAAATAAGATACGATTACGATAGATACGTAAGATTAATTAAAATTATATAAAATTATCCATCAGGGAAAAAGAGAGAAAGAGAGAGAGAGAGAGAGAGAGAGAGAGAAAGAGAGAGAAAAAATATCAAAGAATAATTCCACGTATTCAAGAAAATCTTTATATCAACGTAAAATACTACGGTTCGTTGGTAACCTTGTACGTGTCGAACATAATAAGGCTAATACAAGAATGGCTAGTACTCTCTCCGCTCGTACAACCGCTGCGTCTGGCGCAGAACAAAATATAGAGGTGTATGTTCATGCACACCAAGAGATATATTTCATTTTCAGAATACCCTAGTCCCACACACACACACATACACACACATACAAACGCACACAAAGAGAAAGAGAGAGAGAGAAAGAGAATGTGATCCTTCGACGAATATAGGATGACAATACGTTGAAATGATGTAAGGATGTACATTTAAATGTAGATATATATATATATATATATATATATATATATATATATATATGTGCATATGTATATATATTCCTCGTTCAAAACTACGAGCTCCGTTCATCCATTCCCCTATCAGTTCATATTCTGTGCAGTGAGAAAACTAGAAATCAAATTCGTTACAATTAGACGCTATTTAGTAGCTCTCAAACCAGCGGGAGCTCGTTTAAACTCGTTACTGGATCCGGCAATTTCAATCTGTATGCGAGTGACTAAGCAAATGTTCGCTCAAAATATTTGCCGACTAGATAGATAGATAGATAGGTAGATAGATAGATAGATAGATAGATAGATAGAGAGAGAGAGAGAGAGAGAGAGAGAGAGAGAAAAAAAGAGAGAAATATATATATATATCTATGTATATATATATATATATAAGAGGATAGTGTATTGGATAGAGGGATAGAGACAGATATATACATAAATATACATATATATATTATATATATGTATATATATCTACGTATATACATGTAAAAGTGTGAGAGAATCGAAGATGCAGGTAAATTGTTCCTACCGTTGTTATAATGATTTCCAAAAAAAGAACAAAAAAAAAAAAAAAAGAATTATAAAAAAATATAAAGAAAAAAATAAGAAAAAACGGACATTGAGTTGTCCTGTATCGTCTTTTACTTTGTAAATGCTCAACCCAGACTCAATAAAGCGAGTGATAAAGGAGAAAAAAAAAGAAAAGAGAAAAAGGAAAAAAAAAAAAAAAGAAATCATCATTAGTACGTCGTGACTTCTCTTTCTCTCTCTCTTCTCTCTCTCTCTTCTCTCTCTCTCTCTCTCTCTCTCTCTCTCTCTCTCTGTCTGTCTGTCTGTCTTTCTTTCTTTTCCACTTTTACCTTTTTTCGAAGTTGTAGCTCGATCACGTCAGTGTTGAGCACTTCCGCACCAATCACAGCACCTTTGTACGATTTATAGTGCTTTCGCGCCAGGTGTAACGACTCGATGCTTTCCCTCAGCACTTAGGTGTCCTAGTGACTTAGGTGCTTTCTACTGGCAACCCTACTAGGAATGCTAGAGCTCCTCGAAGACGAAGTGCGGTGAGATGACCAGTTGACCTTCGGAAATCTTTTCTTAAATAAACTAAAAAAGTCAAATGAACAGGGAAAACCATATAAATGTGTGTCAAAGTTTTTCAACAAAATTTATATCATTATTTATTAAACTGATAAAAAAAAAAAATATATATATATATATACTTATATAGAATACATTTTAAAGCAATGAAATATCACATAATATCGTTAAAAGAGATCTATATAATTGAAAGAAATTTATAAGATTGAGATTAATTTTCTAACAATTATTAGACAATAATTAATGATTATTATTAGTCACAATAAGCTAGAGAAAAAAAAAAATATATATATATATATAGTAGCCGAATTTCTTCCTGTAGTCTTTCAAGTGTCATAGCCCCTCGAAATAGATAGTTATCGGCGTTATCAGCACATAGTGATTGATCGAGAGAGAGAAAGAGAGAAAGAGAGAAAGAGAGAGAGAGAGAGAGTCTAGGCTTTTATAATAATTACTCGATTATCCTCGTATTAGTAATTGCTCCCTTGCAATTTAGGGGATAAATAAACAGGAACTACGCCGGCCATCCGGCCGTCTCGTGTTTCGGCGAGGATGGTACGCTCTTAATCAATATGATTGCTTTTAAGGATGGGATTGTATTAGGGAATGAAGGCCTTCTTCTTCTTCTTCTTCTTCTTCTTCTTCTTCTTCTTCTTTCTTCCTCCTTCTTTCTCCTTCGTGTTCTTCTTCTTCTTCTTCTTCTTCTTCTCCTCCTTTGTTACATGTTAGTACTTCTATACTGTTAAAAGATATTAGAGTAATTAGAAGAAATATCATATCTATCGATAGGCATTGATCTTTGAAAAGAGATAAAGTAGTTCATCAATATTGGTTATCGTTGAAATTAGGAAATGATCTAGTCGAAGGACGAAAGAAAGGGAGTATATAAAAAGTGGATCTAGCGACAGCTTGCCCATCGATAAAGTTACTAAATGTTTCCCAAAGTTCATAGTAGATATATCGATAACTTTACTATCGTCCACGATAACAGAAGGGGAGAAAGAGGGAGAGAAAGGGAGAGACATTTGAGTTTAATATACATATATATATATATATATATATATATATATATATATATATAACTCGTTGCTTCATTCTATTTCCTATTAATATATGGTGTAATAATAATAAACGAAGCGCGTTCCAATCACAATACGATAGAGAACGCATTCTCATTAACATAGGAGCGTTTTAACGAGCAGCTAATATCGCCGAAAAATGAAATACTTCGTGTTTGTGACGTTCACGATAATCGAGAGAGAGAGAGAGAGAGAGAGAGAGAGAGAGAGAGAGAAAGAGAGAGAGAGAAAGAGAAAGAGAAAGACAGAGAGAGAGAGGTAGAATATAATCACTTCCTATTTCTCACGATTGCACGTAGCTGCATTTGAATGGGGCCCAACCAATGAGCCGGCACTGTGAGCCTGCTCAGCGTGTTAGTAGGCGGTGCACGTCGGTGATTTATCGGTTCTGCTATTTGTGCAAAATTTGCTATGAATTTTCTGCCCTACGAAGCCACACCTATCAATCTACGGATCTGTCTAATCGTCTTAAGCTTGGAATACTTATATATATATATATATATATATATATATATATATATATACCATTTGCTTTTATGTCCGATCATCTTAGATACATAAATGAAAAATTCCAAATTTTCCAAAAAGATAAATACATATATTTCACGTGCGTCTACGTGATATAATATTGAAATCAAAAAAGAGAAAAGGAGAAAAAAAAGGAAAAAAAAAAAAAAAAAAAGAAAGAAAAAAAAAAGAATCTAAGTTGATTACGATAGTCGGACGATCATTTAAGAAGAGCAACGAAGGTAACTCCTTCCGACAAAGCGGAACGAACGGTGTTTCGTGTTGAGATGGAAAATGGGAAAGGTAAAAAAGGGACGGGCAAGGGGAGTCGGTTATTGTAAGAGAAAGAGGTAAAAAAAGAAAAAAAAAAAAAAACAAAAAACAAAAAAGAAAAGGTAAAGAGGGACGAAGGGGTCCTGTTAAGAAACGGAGAAAGGGCTTTTCCCTGGTGAAAACTTAAAATTCGGCAAAATAATATTTTGATAATATGCCGAACGGCGTCACAGCTGCGACGAACGAAGAAAGGTTCTTCCCTGGCGTCGTACAAGATTGTTAAAGCTCTGTTCGCGACTGCCGGGAGGGTGGTAAGGGGTACTAGGAAGGAGAAAGAGAGAAAGAGAGAGAGAGAGAGAGAGAGAGAGAGAGAGAGAGAGAGGATGGTGACGGTGGGTGAGAGCAAGCGCGGCTAGTAGTGAAACAGCTGGCACATACTGGCGACAGCCCGCCCATCACTAACTCAACCTAGATGCACACGCGCCATGTGCTCCATATACAAACTTCATTGATGTTAGGTGAGAAATGCGAGTGAGACTTCCGACGTTGACCCTAAACATCACTCTCTCTCTCTCTCTCCTTCCCATTTGCTATTACATCCTTCTCTGTCTCTCTCTCTCTCTCTCTCTCTCTCTCTCTCTCTCTCTCTCTCTCTCTCTCTTCCTTTTTGCTATTACATCCTTCTCTGTCTTCTCTCTCTTTATCTCTAGCCTTCTTCCCTTTTCCATTTGATGCTCAAAGAGATACACTTCGATTTCCTCTTCATCTTCTCTCTCTTTCTCTCTCTTTTTCTCTTTCTCTTTCTATCGCTCTTCAAATATTTATTCTTCGTAACGTCTACCGTATGTAAATATGCCAAGTATATAATAATAATATGTCGATATGTCGTTCAAGATATATTTATATCTATCCATGGATATCGATTATTAGTCAACTTAAAGAAAAATCTTTGACTTTGGCTTATTCGTTTCTTATTACATAAATATACCAATGTTCTTTACTAAACCCTATTAATTTTTCAATTTTTTTAAAATACTTCTTCATGATCCTTTTCATTCTTTCTTCCCAATTATATCTTAAAGCATCTGTGGTATTGTTATTTAAATAAAAATACGTCTATATATATATGTGTGTGTGTGTGTGTGTGTGTGTGTTATGTATACGCTTACATTTTTTTTTTTATTTTTTTATTTTTTTTTTGAAAAATATTCACTTAAGTTCGACAAATTTTTACGATTTCAATTTTTAGAATAATAAGAACTACTTTAGAAGTTAATAGCAATCAGACTTGGTACCGGTGCTCGGTGACATTCTATTCAGAGATTAATTGTTACGGCGTTATGGCTTCAACCATCTAGCAGCTTCTTACGGATTTCAATGAGTTAAATTGAGCGTCACTAATATTCGGATCCACGAAATCTCCGTGTCCCAGATTCATATCTTAACGGTCTTTTTCTAAAGGCCACCATTCAAGTTCTTTGAAATCATCAATTATTTTTCGAAAAATGTTGGCACTTTTAAAAATCCTACCAATAATAAAAAAAATGAGGATGATATAAACGTGAATTATCGACGAAATAAGATAACGTTTTATTACTATCAAAAATAATATCCACCAAAGAGAAAAGTTGAAGGAGCCGGCGCACCGGAGTAAGTAAAATTAAGAATTCAATCAAGACATCGGTGTGCCATGGCACTTCAATTCAAACTAAAGCTTCGCAATTTTCGAGAACGCTGCTAACCGGAATACCAAGTTATTTAATGATTCACTGCAATGGTTCAAACACGAATAACTCAGAACATGCGATATTCTACGTTATTAAATACCCAAATTCTTTCCTTATACATATAATAAAATATTCTTCTCTCTCGCTCTCTCTCTCTCTCTCTCTCTCTCTCTCTTTCTCTCTCTCTCTCTTACTCTCTCTGTCTCACAAATACATACACATACACCCAATACAAATTATCTGATCTCTTATATGTATAGAAATATACAGTGTATATAAATATATATATATATTGATTAAACTCGAATTTCCGATAAGAACTTTCAATCCTTGTAGAACATACCAAGAAAACTTAGTTTATTAATTCTATTTTTTTTTCTTTTTATTTTTCGTTTTTTTTTTTGTTTTTACTTAAAAAAATTCAACCTACATATATATGAATAATGTTATTCTTAATAAATTTCCTTCTTCATAATAATATCCTCCATAATGGTAATTCAATAAATATTATCATATCGATAATATAATTATCTATATCGATTAATAAAATTTTTTTTTCAATAAAAATAGTCACTTATTGATTCATTATCCATAGTGATAATCCGTAATATTAGATAAGTTCTGATTTACGTAGAAGACACGAGATTTCCCACATCAATTGATTAAACGGCCTTCTAATTGAGTTGTGCTGTTTAGTAAACCACAATTCCAATGGCGGACGTTTGTATCTTTAACCATGTAGCCATTGTTCAAATCTCGGACATATTTAAGTATCTAAATATTAAGTTAGATGCATTAAAGATATTTAATAATATATACAAACATATCAATTTCTCTCAATATTTCTTAATAAAATTACAATAATTTAAATGAGAACTTTTTGAAAACTTTTAAGAGACCTTGAGATTTACTTTTGTAAAATGTACATTTTTCACCCCCGCGAAATTGTAATTACTGTTGAAAGTTGATTGATAAGTGATACAAAATTTATTTAATATATATATATATCAAATGTGGATCTACGGAATTGAAGAAAAATTAAAAAGAGATAAATATATATGATTTGACTTTGAATTATATATAGGCCAGTTTTCATAAACAAATTAAATTCTCCTAATTATAAATATATACGTAGGTAAATAATTCACATACACACACACACAGACACATATATATATATATATATATATATATATTAATACATAACGCGACGCAGTCTAGAAACTCTAGGTTTTCTTGATTTCGACGTTTTCTTCGGGCTTTTATCATAAACGAAGGCGAACGGAGGAAATATTTCACGAAGACATTTCACTAAAAAAAACTAAGGATTGAGAAGGCAAACAAACATACATACACCCAAGTCGTTTCAAGCAAAGTAAAGAAATAATAATAATAAAAAAAAAAAGAAGAAAAAAAAGAAAAGAAAAGAAAAGAAACGAAACAAGAAAAAATACAGAAAAAAAATGAAAAAAGAAAAGATCTGAAAGAGAGAAGTATCAAAGAAGTCATACTACTTTTCGTTGATAGAGAAAGAGAGAGAGAGAGGTGGGGTGAGAGAGAGAGAGAGAGAGAGAGAGAGAGAGAGAGTGTGTGTGAGGGAGAGAGAACGCGCGCGTGCGCTTCCTCTGAAACGCAAAATATTTAGTCTTTCCAAGAGTTGATTTTTATTTAATCCGCGATTTCTCCGCAATGAGAAAATCGTAAGATTACGAGAGTTTTATCCTTTTTGTATAATATTTTAATCGTTATTTCAACGGATTCCAAAGCTTCTTCTTCTTCTTCTTCTTCTACTTCTTCTACTTCTTCTACTTCTTCTTCTACTTCTTCGAAAGTCCGCGAGAGGAGAGATCAT